CCTTTGATCTAGTAATACCACTACTAGGTCTGCATCCCAAAGAGAGCATAAAAAAGGGAAAAGGACCCACATACACAAAAATATTTATAGCAGTTCTTTTTGCAGTGGCAAAGAATTATAAATTGAGAGAATACCCATCAATTGGCGAATGGCTGAACAAATTGTGGTATATGAATGTAATGGAATGCTATTGTTCCATAAGACATGATAAGCAGGCAGATTTCAGAAAAACCTGGAAAGACTTACATGAACTGATGCTGAGTGAAGTGACCAGAACCAGGAGAACATTGTACACAGTAACAGCAACATTGTATGATGACCAACTTTGATAGACTTAGCTCTTCTCAGCAATGCAATGATGTAAGACAATTCCAAAAAACTCATGAGGTAAAATGCTATCCACATCCAGAGAAAGAACTATGGAATCTGAATGCAGATCAAAGTATACTATTTTCTCTTTTTTTTTCTCTTACGGTTTTTCCTCTTTTGTTCTGGTTCTTCTTTCACAACATGACTAATGTGGAAATATGTTCTATATGATTGTGTAATATGATTGTATAACCTATATCAGATTGCATGGCATCTTGGGGAGGAGAGAAGGGAGAAAAGGGGAAAAATTTAGAACTCGAAATCTTATAAAGTAAATGTTTAAAACTAAAAATAAATAACTTAATTTTTAAAAAAGAAAAAAAAGTAGAGTGATCCCCATTCCTTGATAAGTCTACTCCTTTTGCCTGTGGTCTTCATTCCATGTCTTCGCTCCTCCAAGACAATCTTGCTGCTATTTCTTATTCATTTTCACATTCTCTTCCTTTCCACAGACTTTTTTCCATCTGTTTCTAACCTCAAAGAGAGAGAGAGAGAGAGAGAGAGAGAGAGAGAGAGAGAGAGATGTATGTCTGTATTGATTGTACATATACATGTGTTTACATGTCATATATAAGTATATTTATATTATGTACATATGTATGCATGTATATAATGTATATGCAGACACCTATGTGTGTACACACCTGTGAATTATTTACATAGAGATGATAAAGCCTTGAGGGCTAATGAGGTTGTCAAGAAAATGGAACCTAAGAAAAATACCTTGGAGAATACTACGATTAGAGGGCATGACATGGATGATGAACCAATAAAAGAAACTAAGATAGAGTTATCAAAGAAGTAAAGACTCAAGAGAAAGCTGCATTGTGAAAATCCAGACAAAAGAGAACATCTAGTTGGTGGGGATGATAATGTCAAATGCTGCAGATAGTTTGAGAAGGATGAGTACTGAGAAAAGACCATCTGATTTGGCATTAAAAAGGTCATTGGTAACTTTGGAGAGAGCAGTTTCTATTGAGCAATGAGGTCAGGTTATAGTGGATCAAGGTATGAGTGAGTGCAGAGAAAATGGAGGTACCAAGTAAAGACAGCTTTTTCAAGGATTTGGGCTGAAAAAAGTAAGTGAGATCCAGGATGAAAGCTTTGAGGGGATGGTAGGGTCTGATGATTTTTTTTTAAGAATGGGGGCAACTTATTTCTTGAATAAGAAAATAATATGGATAGACAATTGCTTCAGGAATATTAATTTGTTGCCATGTGAAGAAGAGATTAGAGAAGGAAATTGAAGGGAATTAATTGGGAGACTATTGCAATATTTCAGGGAAGAGGGGAGGAGGTCCTGAATTAGGATAATTGTGTTCTAAGGGGAAAGAAGTGGATGAATGTGAGAAATGTGGAGGAAGAATTGTGAAGACTTGGCAACTAATTGAATATGGATGATTTTGGAGGTGACACAATGAGTATGAATCTGAAAATGACTTGAAATCTTGAAATTTGAGGATGACTGGAAAAGTGGCAATGCTTTCTCTAGAAATAAGGAAGTTGGGAAGAGGGGAAATTTTAAGGTCAAAGATAATGAATTCAGTCATGGATATCATGGAACTCCAGCTGGCTACTCTTCCTTCCTGAGAGAAGACTATGAATAATGATTTTCTATTGATTAAACATACTCGACATCATGTACTTGGCTCTGTAATAATGAGTGAGTGACATTTGGAGTCAGGTAAAATCTGGGCACTTGCAAAATGTGCTTTCTGAATTCTATTGGTGTTATAAGTATAGTTAATTTAGGTACTACTTCATGGCTCTGCAATTTAACTTTCTTTGGCAACTGTTGGGGACATTCATCACAGGGCTGACCTGTTAAAAGGTACTTGCTGGGTAGCCTAGCCCATTTCTCCTCATTAGGATGAAATGCTTTTGCTAAACTTAGCTACGGTCAGTTACATCACTTGCCTTCGCACTCCAGAAGTGCCTCATTAGGTCTCCAGTATCAAAATGTCCTCACTGTCATAAAAGTTTTTCTCTTTTCTAAATTGAATTATCACAGTCCTATAAGTTCTAACACATTTAGCTGTAAGTGTATTTATGCCAAGGAAGGTGATCTTGGGAAATTAGCCTTTTTGAGTATCTTTGATCTAAATCAAATGCTATTTGTTCCATAATCACTTAGCCAAGTGAACCCTAGTTCACAAGTACCTTTACAATTTAGTGGGGCAGCTAGGTGGTGCAGTGGATAGAGCACAGGCCTTGGATTCAGGAGGACCTGAGTTCAAATCCAGCCTCAGACACATAACACCAGCTGTGTGACTCTGGGCAAGTCACTTAACCCCATTGCCTATCCTAAAAAAAAAAAAAGTACAATTTAGCAATGGAAAGATTTCATTCACACCTTCCAAAAAAGATTTTCTACTTCTCATTCATTGAGATTATGCTGAATAATTAGGAAAAGAGGCATGGTTTGACCTGAGTCAGCTAGTAGCCCTACCTGCAGAGCCTATTACAGAGCAATTGTCCTATCAGATTTTCCAAGAGAAAAGAGAAACTGTTCTGGACAACCGTAACTATGGTACATAAAGAATGTTTGTTTTTCAAATGCCCAAATGTTTCTTGTGTCCAGATGCCAGGCAATATTGGCAATCTGGGCATGTAAATGGTATGGGAATTCAATCAACATGAAACAAGTTGCTATAGTATGTTTTACGAATGTAATAAAATTTTCTTTTTCAACTGGTTCCATGTTATCTCTGGTAATAGAGGCAGCTAGGTCACCTAGCGGATAGAGTGCTAGACCTGGAGTCATGAAGAGCCAAGTTCAAATCTTGCCTCAGACGTTTCTAAGACATGTGACCCTAAGCAAGTTACTCAACCTCTGTTCTTCGTTTCCTCATCTATAAAATGAAGATAATAATGGTAGTTACCTCACAGTTTTGTTGTGAGGATCAAATGAGATCCTACTTGTAAAGCACTTTGCAAACCTTAAAGTACTATATAAATGCTAGCTATTATTATCATTATCACCATCATTATTATAATTATTATTAGATTATTTTTTCACTTAGGCACTTGAAAATTTTAGTATGGGAACTGATAATCCCACAGTCTTTAGTAGACTTATGGGGAAAGGGGGATGGCAGCAATTGAGACCAGGAAAAGGAGCCAGAGTACATGAATTTTTATCCTTGTTTGACCATCACTGACATGTCATCTAACTTTCCAGTGCTTTGTTTTCCACATATATGTAGAGAGTTCAAGTCCATAGTGTAGCACATACTGTCTGTTTGACCCTGTCCAAGTCACTTAACCTTTTAATGTTATTCACAATTCTCTAAGATTATAAATAAGTTGTAGAACAGTTGGGGATTTTGTTTGTAGAGGTTGTTTCATTGCTAGGAGCACCATATACTGAAGAAATCACAGGTTCCACCACCCAAAAAAAGCACGGACAGGGTTCTGAGGCACATCCCCTTGGCACAGATTAATGTTTTTAAACAAATGCTCTAAGTGGCTTTAAAGAAAAGCTTTACTTAACTTGAAGGTATTACTCTTTCTGGTGCACACCTGGTTTTATGATGGTTTGCATATCTTAATCCAGTCTCTGAATGAAGAGATTTGGATTAAGTGTTTCTCTTACCCTTAGCAGGTGATGTGATCTTCTAAGTATAGAACTAGAAATTAAAACCAAGACCCCAAATTGTATTTCCTCTCTAGAGGGTCACTGACATAATGAAGTAAGGTAATTGAACAGGCCCTTGTACTTGCAATCTCTGGCCATTTTCCAAGAAGACTCTTTAGTTTTTAAAGCCCATTGCCACCTGGCCCCACTCTCTTTCAGTCCTCTTTGTACATTACTCCTCAACCCATACTCTTGCCATCCAGCCACACTGGCTTTCTCTCTGCTCCTCATACATAGCACGTGTCTCAGAGCTTTTGCCTTGGCTATTTCCCATTCCTGGAATGCGCTCCTTCTTCACCTCCAACTCAAAGAAAAGTTCTCTTCCTTCAAGGTAACAGTTGCATACATGAAGATTTTCTGGTTCCACTGACTGCTGCCGCCCTCTATCCCTTTCTTTAACTATTTTTGTATTCTCTCTCCGTGTGTGTCTCTCCTCCTTCCCTCTCTCCCATCTCTCCATTTCTCTTTCTATCCCTTCCTCTCTCTCTTTTCTTCTATCCTTCCCTTCCTCTATCTCCTTTCTCTTCCTCCCTTGCTCCCTCTCTTTTCTCCCTTCCTCCCTCATTCTTTCCATCTCTCTACATCCTTCCCTCTCTGTCTTTCCATCTCTGTCTTTCTCTTTCTCTGTCTCATTGACTGGCCAACAATAGATCCCATGCCAAGCCCCACTTGGTCATTGTTTGGGCCCTAATTGGCTCAGAGTGAATGGAATAGCAATTGTTTCTGTCTTGGCCAGGAACTCTGAGGTCTTCCCCTCCTAGACTGATATATACACATATGTGTATGTATAAACACATACTTGTTGGCTAGAACACTTCCACTTTTGTCATTGTATGCCTACTATCTAGCACAAAAATGAGCGCTTCACCAATGCTCACTGATTCATTGAAGATTCTAGGTGATAATGGGATACCTGGGAAAGGGGGAAGGAGGCATCAGGCAGGTGGAGGTTCTCACGCGCTGTTTTCTCTCTTTCCTTTTGTGGGTTCTCCAGTGAGATGAAGCAAAAGCTGGATGAAGAAGGCAGCAAGTGTAGTATCCTGTCCAAGCACCGTCAGTTCACGGAGCACTGTTGCATGCGCTGCTGTGCCCCTTTCACCTTTCTCCTCAACACCAAGCGTCAGTGCTGTGACTGCAAGTACAACATCTGCAAAAGCTGCAGTTCCTACCAGAAAAAGGAGAGGGTGTGGCTCTGCTGTGTCTGCCAGCAAACCAGGTAAGAGCAAGGGCCCAGCCATGCCTGTGGCTCTGCCTGAGCTGGCCTCCTGCTGCTGCTGGGGGCCGGTTCAGTGCTTCTTTCCACCAGGATGCCTATCGGCTCATAACCACAGAAAGGTAATAGTGGAGAATTTTAACTGAAATGTTATTTCAAGAGGCTTCTTAATTATATTATTCCCCCCCCCCCATTAACAAGCATTTATTTTCTCTCCTCACTTTCTCCCTTCCCACCTGGAGAGTTTCTGTGGGATTTTTTTTTTCAGGCAGCTACTCTGTACCCATATGTGGAGAGGGGAAGGAGATGAAAAGAGGGAGGCTTGACACCTGAAATTCAAGTCTCCAGCTTTTGTTTCTAAATTACTGTTCATTTTGGAGATAGGGACTTCTAATGATCTTGGCCCAAATGATCTCCAAAATCCTCAGGATAGGGAGGTTTTTAAAGCTAAGAGTCCTATTTCTCATGGTGTTCTTAGGTACTTCATGACACAGTCTTCACAAAATCCTTCTTTGGGGGAAGAAGGCAAGTAGAAAGGGAAAACTTGGAAGAATCTGCTGTGTAAAAACTTTTAAAAATCATAGGTTTCAAACTCATCAGATTACAATGTAATTGGGAAAGGTTCAACAAAATAAATAAAAATGTAATACAACATAGATAATGTTAATTTGTGATTTTCTAAGTCAGTATGTGGCCAGCAAGGATCCCATTCTATTTGAGTTGGACTCCACTGATGTAAATCATTCTTTGGATTCCATTATGCCTAATGGGCTTCAAAGGACTTGCTCAGGTTAGACTAGATGGCCTTGAGGCACTTCCAGCTCTGAAATTCTGCCATCACAGAGTATTGACCATGGGGAGTGAATAGGAGGGAAACTTTAAGTCAAGGCTTAAGAGTTCATGGTTAAGTCCATGGATAAAAGATAGTCTGTCACCAGGCAATGTCGTGACACTCTTTGTTCTCTCCTGCCAAAGTTACCTAAATGTCACAATGACGCATTGGGTAGAACTTTAGGAGTATTACATAATCGATACAAGAAAGAAGAGAGCAGAACACACAATGTGTCCCTGAGGGATGTATTTGTTTTTTCTTAGAGTTTGACTTTGGAATGCAGTCTTTTTGTGGCTTAATTTGTCATTTGGGATTTAGTCATAGGAAGATAAAGATTCTTTCAAGTTTTCTCATGCTACAAGAAATGGTACACATCCCATAAAAGAGTTCACTCAGGTTCTATTGTGAAGGATATGACATCTCCTAGTAGCCAAGGTTGGCTCTGCACATAGACAAGGCACCTGGGCATGGTATCATTTGAAGCCAATATGGAGTGTCACCATATGGAATAATGATCACTGGGCTATGTTAAGGGACCAGTGTTCCTGGTACTAACTGCTACTAACTAGACCTGTGTCATTTGGGAAAAGTCATCTAATTTCTCATAACCTTGAATACATCCTTAGATGCAATGCTGTCTAATGTCCTTTCTAACTCTGTTTCTATAAGCACCTCCCCCTTTCAACAATCAAATTCTTCTCCATCGGCCTGGCTATACAGTATGAAATGACCACATAGTTCCTTTAGTTTAAAGCAGTAAAGCCCCTAATGAAAATGTAAATGTTATTATAAATTAAAATTAAATTCCAAATTAATTTATCAGATTAGTTAGTCAGGTTGCTGATGGAATAGAAAATAGCACAGGTAAGTTTTTGTTCCAGGAAGGGTCAGGGAAGTTTAGGAGCATAGGGAATTGTTTAGGAGTAGAAGTGGGGTGTCATCCCAGGGCAACCCCTAGGTGGTATGATGGTACCTTGGATGGTAAGAGAAGACGTGGAGAATAGAGGACAGGGGAGGGAAGGAAGGCAAACTTCCTCAGCTCAACAGTGTTAGGCCCAACCTCTTGGTACCTCTAAAACAACTAATATCCAGAGCTTACTTGCATTGAGTCTCTCCCAAGATGTAGATGCTGTGATGGCCCAGAGGACTTACTCCATGTGAAGCAGGCATTACCTCTAAAGGCAATCACAATGTTTATCAATTGGTCCTGAGGGCTTACATAGCCAATCCACTTGATATGTGCATCCCCCACAAGCTGTACTGAAGGGACACACACCCTTTTGTACCATTCCTCAGATCCCCAGTCTTCACTTTTTCTACCTTAAAGACTATCATGTAGTGGAAAGAGCCCTGAGCTTATAATACAGAGAAGTGGCTTAGTCTTTGCTTACAGACACTTCATATTTTATGGAATCACAGAATCTGAGAGTTGGAAGGGACCTTTGTGTCTGTCTTGTCCAACAGATATTGAAAAGTTAATCTTCACTGTTCCATGCCAGACAAATGGTCACCCAGCCTATGCTTACAGACCCCTAGGTAGGAGGAATGGGCCACCTCCTGGGGAAGCCCATTCCACCTACGAATAGCTATCATTGTTAGGCTTGATGCCTAACAATGTTAGTTTCCTAAGTTTGCATATATGGAATTTCTATCCCTCCATTCATTATTCTAGGCTGTGCCCTCTGGAGCCAAACAGAACAAATCTAACCCTTGTTTCATATGCCAACCTTTCATATACTTGAAGACAGCTGTGGTCTCTGTCTCCTATGCCTCCACTACCCAAGTCTCTTCCTTTCCAGGTTTTTTGTTGTTGGTGAGTCGTTTCAGTCATGTCCAACTCCTGGTGACTCCATTTTGGGTTTTCTTGGCAAAGACACTGGAGTGGTTTGCCATGTCCTTCTCTAACTCGTTATGAGATGATCTTCACGAATTTCTGTGCCTGAAAGAAATTCATCCTCTGACAGCATCTCCACACTCATCTAGCTAACCCCTTGAACAATATTCATAACAACATAGCTTTGGAGCCAGGAGAAGCCTCAGACATCATTGGACTCAACAATTGAATTAACTTTATTGATGAAGAAAACTGATGAGGACCATGGAGGATGAGACTTGCCCAAGGCCACCCAACTAGTAAACAGCAGAGCTGAGATTTACTCTTCTGTCTCCTGACCCCAAATATAATGTTCCTTCCCCTGTCCCAGCAGGGTCCTCCTCATAAGAGGACATCAAAGCAAAACAAGAATGATCCTCCTTCATGCATATTATAGAGGGTCTTCTTGTTTGGTTGGGGTTGAATTCATTAACTTCTGAGGTCCCTTCCTACTCTGATATTCTATGACACAAAGTAGTAATAAGGATAACTACTGAAGAGTTTCTCTAGTACTTTAAAATTTACAAAATATTTTATATTCTCAATATCTCTTTTGATCTTCACAGCAAATTTATGAGGTGGGTACTTATGGATAGGGGTATTGTCCCCATTTTCTAGATGAGCAAACTAAGGCTAGGAGGTTCAGTGATTTGCCCATGATCACCCAGCTTGTAAGTGTCAGAGATGGGGTTTAAACCCATTTAGCTGACAACACAGTATTTTTTACAAGACAAGCTGCCTTCAAGGAGCTTACCATCTTGTTGAATAGTCAAAGACATGAAACTTTTTTTAATGTCAAAACTATTATGGCTATCTGATTTTGAGCAAAGAGAATCCAACACCACCTTCCTTCAGCTGTTCTGCTCAATGTCTTCCTTTAATTCATCACCACAATGAAACTTACCTAACTAAAATCCAGGCTTCCCATCTATGAACCTAGAGGAGCTAAAAGTAGAGTAAGGGGGAGCTAGGTGGGACCATAGTGCATAGAGTTCCAGCCCTAGAGTCAGGAAGACATGAGTTCAAATCTGACCTCAGACACTTACTAGCTATGTGACCCTGGGTAATTCTCAGTTTACCCTGTTTGCCTCAGTTTTCTCGTTCCATCTTTGCCAAGAAAACCCCAAATGGAGAGTTGGACACAACTCAACAACAACAACTAAAAGGACTATTATCTTCACCCTTTGGGGGGGTCCCACCCTATTGTGTTGTTATGCTCATTTTTTGTTGTTGTTCAGTTGTTTCAGTCATGCCCAACTCTTCATGATCCCATTTGGAGTTTTCTCAGCAAAGATACTGGAGTGGCTTGCCATTTCCTTCTCCAGCTCATTTTACATATGAGGAAACTGAGGCCCGACTTGAATACCTTGACATGGAATTTGAACATTCTGAAATGACAGTGTCTTCCTTTTTTCTAATTATCCTTCTCACCTAATTGCATCAATAAAAAAAAAATTCAGGTTTTCCAAGTCGTTGATAACAGCATGGAGCCTTATGTGTGTGTACTTTAAAAACCTCATTTACATAGGATCTATAAATCCTATGTTGCTTAGAAACACTGTAAAGAAAAAAAAACTTAGTTTAATGAATCCTTTGCTAGTGTCCGGTCAATTTTTTATGGTTCATTTATTTATGCAATGTACAAATTAACAGTATGTTCATATCATCCATGGGGTTAGATTTAATTCTTCTTATGTATTAGGGATCATTGGCTTTTATTAATGCAAATGTTTGAACACAGGTATCTTTTCTCGGGAGGAGGAGCTATTTATGAGTGCAATTAGTTGACTCTCCCTAGACTGATGTGTAGTTTTTTGCAGATGTCAAAGGCAACAAGGTCTTGAAGTCTGACCGTTTCGTATTTTATTGTTTATGATGTCATTTGTTTTCTGGAATCTCATTATATACTGTCATGCCTTCATTTGGTTATACATTTGTATAAAGATAAGGCATTCAAATAAATACATTAAGTTCCCATTTGCTTTGATTTCCCATTGAATGAACAGATGTCAGAATCTACCTTCAGTTAGAAGCCTAATCAAGGACACACTACAATTTGTTGCCTGCTTTGATCAAATATAAGCTCCTTGAGGGCAGGGACTGTTTCTTTTTTTTTTTATCTTTGTATCCCCTTGTACAGACAAGGCTGTGATTAGAACCATACATTTAAAAAATTGTGCACCAAAACAGAGGTTTAGGATGGGCATTCCACTTATATGTAACTATTGGAAGAATATTTGTTTTGAGATTAATTTTTTTCACTCCTTTGGGTTATAGAGATAGACAAATCTAGGACTA